CCCTTCCCATCCCAAGGAGGGGCCAGTGACTCACCACTAATCCCCAGTGTACCCTCAGGTGAATAGGCACAAAGATGAGGTCTTGCTTGAAGAGATCCACACCTTTGGTCCATCTTTTCACTGCCTGGTAACCCCCGGAAGTTAATTTGGGGTAGAAGAAAGTACTGAAAGCATGGAGTGCTGGAAATCCCTGCTGCTTATTTCTCTCCACCAGAAGATTCATGTAGAAATTGATGACCTAGACAACAGAGAGAGTAGAGTTCAGAGAATGGAAGGGCCATTCATATCTGCCTGCTAAAGTTAAGCCTTGTATGCTGAATTCTTCAGAATTTACAATCTGAAGAGACAACACTGTCTTCATCTCAAGTTAGACTCCTGAACTAACTTCCTTCCTGCAAGTCCGTGGGAAACACACTTATTTCACCCACGCCCCAAAGTAAATCTGATCTTAAGTTAGTGGCGAACTCCTGAAAGCAGCATAATAGAGGGATGGAGACACTTTCGGGAGTATTGCTCCTCTTAAAGGCCCAGCTTTCAGAACCCTACAGCTATTCCTATAGGAACCGAGGTGTGGATCAGAAAATTAGAACCCATCAACAGCTAAGAGTCAGAGGACATTGGGGCGCATTTTAGCACATGCACGTGGAACACACACATTCCTATTGGATTAATTTTACCTCGTCATTGAGCCAGTGATGGTTCCTGAGAGTCTGGAGGTCCCCACGAGTAACCTTTAATTTAAAGGCGCTGCTCAGGATCTCATCCTCCTGGCCATAGCCTAATGCGTTTGTGATTTCTCTCTCCATCTCCTGAAATGAGCAATTCCACGACGTGACTAGCAAGCAAGTTCTGAACTCGGGAGCACATGGGGCATGCCAACGGGGGGCTCACGCGGACGTAGAAAAGGGATGCAAGTGGAGGCGTAAGCCTACTAAAGGAGGAACAGTTTGGCCACACAGTGACACTGGGGGTCCAGGAGATCACTGTTCGTTTCAGAGCAGAGGACGGTTAGCTTTGGTAGCGTCTTCTGTTGAGTTTGTCCATGCTGGCGCTCCACACAGACGCCTGCCGTGCTAGTAACATGGATGGTTACATTTCTAAGCTATTTTAAATGGTGCTTCAGTCATTTTGATTTACCAGCTCAGAACCACGGAGATGTTTATACTGGCTCTGGTTTGGAAGTTCAGTCATTTTCTTGAGGACTGAAAGGAATTATGGGAGTCTACTGAATTCTATCAAGCCTCTTACACACTAACACCAGCACTGCAAGTGATTGAGTCCATCAATGCCGATCAGTCAGAAAAGGGACATCATGCAGAAACCGAAAAACAAAACGCGCACGTCAGCAGAGCTGAAAACAAGACAGCAAAAAGGTAGCGTTTCGGCGAAGCCGCCTGTCTCATGCAATACTGGGGCCTTGTGATCGTTAGAGGTCAACCCACCACCGCTTTGTTTAACTGGAACTGGCCTGATAGCAGGGCCCCTCAGCTCAAAACTCAGTTCTCCCCTTTCGTTTACTCGAGTCCAGATTTGGGGACGTATTTGAGAGGGAGTACCAGGGAATATTAGTTTAGGGATGGGCTGCCATATTAGTGGGTAGGCTGCAGGAGGGACCCTCCTTTACCTTAGTGGGCCACAGCTGATTGCGGGGTTCCAGCTCTGGGGAAGGAGGGAGGGACAGCAACAGTGTGAATAAAGCGATTCAAGTGCTCTGAAAGTGCTGGTATCAAGGTGGGGCTCCGGTGCCCCAGTGTACGAGAGGCACGTGGGGAAGGGGGGCAGCCAGGGGTGTCCAGGGGCAGCAGGCAAAGCCCCAGGTTGCCCTCCCCCCCCCCCCCCGCTGTTCTAGTGGCTGTATTGGCAGCCATGTCGACAGTCAGGAGGTATTTTGTGTTTGATCATACACGCTGTTAGAGCCATCACAGGTAATGTTCAATCTCACTCTAGCAGGAGAGAGATTTTGATCTGTTTAAAAACAAAGTACTTCTGATTGAGCTGAGCTGACGAATAAGGGAAACACTCTTATTTCTGGTATTGGAGCATCTACCAAGGTACACACAGAACACAATCAGGCAGTTCAGAAAGGCTTGAGCAAAAGCATTCGTGTGTTGTGCTGCTGGCTCCCTGCAAACCAGTGGTTAGCAGAATGGCCCGATTCCAAGTAACTGGAAGGTCTGACTAGCAGGCAAGAGCAGCCAAACTCCATGTTAGAAGGGGCACCTAGGCGCCCCAATCCCCTGGACCACGGTTAGTACATTATCTGGCAGCAGATGGGCACACGCAAAGAACGTGTAATAAAGCCCCAATTATTCCATCCCATTCAGGTCTCCTCTCCCAACCCGGACACCAAAACCAACAATACCTCGGTGAGTTCAGGAAGGCGCTCTGAGCTCTTCTGTGGGCCTGGGCACGTCTGCTCTTTCACCACTAGTGCAGCTGGCCTTCTGGCTACAGCAGAGCTCCTGCTGCCCAGGCATAACCGAACTGACACCTCTTTTGACAGGTCAGCCTCCAGCCATCTCTGTTACACAAACAGAAGTTCAATAGCATGGAAACAGGAAATTGTGATTTGTTGCCGTGTGTACTAGGACAGTTTTATTCAAATTCCAAGTGGAAGCACCCAAACACTCTCCACCATCAGATTACACTAGGCCCGGAAGGCTGGGTTATGGTATGCCACTCCAGCTACGTAAAATGTGTCGCTGGAGTCAGCTTACTTTACACATAGCTTGGCACCGCCTCCCCAATGGGAGGCCGAGAGGAGCAAATGTTAAGATTTAGCTGCAATGGGCTAGTAATGCTAAGTGAGAGGAAAGTGTTTCGGGACATTCGCCAGAGTCAAAATGACCATCAAAGTAATGTAGGCAGGACCTCGATAGGTACCTGAGGCAGAACTAAGTATCCATCCCTGACAGGCATTTGTATAACAGTCTTAAAAACCTCCATTGATGGACACTGCCCATCACTTCTGGGTACATTTGTTCTGGTGCTTAAACCCTTCAAGTTTGCAAGTTTTCCTAATGTCCAACAAATTGCAGCAAGCGAAATGTAAGACAATTACTTCTTGTCTTGCCCTCAGTCAATAAAGAGAACAGTTTATCATCCTCCTCTTTTAACACTCTTCTACACCAGCAACGGGCAACCTAGGCTAGCAAGTGGGCCGCATTAGTGGCCCTCCATGTCAGAGGGCTGCAAGATTGTCATAAGCAAGACAGTCTCCCGGGTCAGGGTAGTTTTGCTCACTGCGCTTGTGCACCTAGAATGCACGGAGGGTGCCGAGTGTACCGTAGCAGGGCTGTTATGGGATGCAGAGGGAGCACATGGCTCAGTCAGCGTGCACCTCCCCTCACATGCCCTTGTTCACTTTAGAAATACCGGTAGGAAAAACATTTGCAGATAGAAACCAGCGCCTAGCTGGGGCACACATGGCCTTTGGTCTGCAGATTGTCACCCCTGCTCGACCTACTTGAAAAACATGTCCCTGGTGAGGTTATCCCTCCTCCCAATTTTTCAAATCGATCCTCATCAGTCCTGCTTTCTAGGCCTTTAATCATTTCCATTTCCCAAAGTGTGGTGCCAGAACTGGACACTGTACTCTGACTGAGGAGCTATCAATGCTGAGTACAGCAAAATTACTTACAGCATTCCTTCTAATCTCTCTCAGAATGACTGGGTGTTTTCTTGCAAGAGTATTATATAGTGACTTAATTTGTGAGCAAGAACCCTGTTCTTCCTAGGCAGTTCTTTTCCAGTTGGTATTTGTGCAGCTGATTTTCCATCTTGCGCCCAGTACTGTGCATTTGTCCTAACTCAATTTCATCCTATTTACTTCAGACCATTTTGAATTCTAATCCCGTCCTTCAAAGCACTTCCAAGTCCTCCCAGCTTAGTACCGTCTGCAAATTTTGTAAGTGCAGTCTCTGCCGTTATCCAAATCATTGAGATATTGAACAGAACTAAATCCAGGGACAGATCCCTGCAAGACTCCACTCGCTATGTACTTTCAGCTTGACAATGAACCACTGATTACTACGCCGAGCAACTTTCTATCCAGCTGTGCTACCACCCTTAGTACATTTTTTTAGGCTGTATTTCTCCAATTTGAGAAGATCATACAAGACTATTAAAAGCCTACCGAGGTAGAGAGCTATAGCAGTTTGTTTTTGGGAGGTTCTCTGCCCTTAAAGGGTTACGTGGTTGGGTTTGATTTTTTGTTTTTTTTAAAAAGCCCGAGTATCCCACACGGGCTGGATACATGATAATAAAGACAGTTTTAGCCTATTTAAAAAACAGATTTTAGACACATCCTCCGACCCATACAGCAAGCAAAATACAGGTAAATATAAAACAACTGTATGCAGAACAGAATGGTGGTGTATTTCTAGTCTAGGAAATCCGAATTAAAATTAATTTAAAATGCAGCAATCCTGAAAGAATCTTAGTAGCTAGAAAAAAAAAAAGTTTCCCTGGTTTACAAACTGGGAACTTAACTGTGGCTCTAAGCTTAATTTTGGAGAGACGAATCAGGAAAGAAATGCATGAACAGCAAGATCTAGCTGAGAAAGGACTAATGATGTAATAAGCGTATCCTATAGTGATGTGGATGAACCCCAATAAATGCTACATTTGAGGCGCCCCCTCCGCTTCTGAAGAGCTCCCAAGAGGAGAAATTGAGCAGATTCAGCATACGGAGCAGAGCCCAATATCACAAGGGCTCTTCCACCATTGCTCTACGCTCTGTGTGTTAGGAAGACCACCCTGCCACACGCCACTGGGGAAAGCATGTTATTCAGGGATATGCTTAAGAAGGGAGGACACAGAGTTGAATGCAGTTTAGTTGTAGAATACCATCTTTCAAAAGAGGGAAAAAGCTAGAACTTTCAAACTTACCCCTTCATTTTTCTGCCCAATTGTCGGTTCGTGCGCGTTTTCTGCTGAAGTCTGCAATCTGAGAGAGAAAAACGGGCAGAGTTTCGCAACAGGGATATTTACTTCGTAAGTAATATATCGTATAGTAAGTTACCTTTGGGGTGCCAGCGCTGGGAAACGCCTTCTGTGGGGATTGAATCTGACTAACGCGCAAGAACGAGAGTTTAACCTGCCCATTCTATAGCACCAATACTTTGAGGAGGTGCAGATGAGGAAAAAGGGACAAGGGAAGGAAAACGGGAAAGACCCACCCTAAGTAGAGGACTGAGGGCTAGTGCAGAAGCATAGCTAAAACAAGGATACAAGATAAAGCTTAACGTTAAGATATAATGCACAACAAACTGAAAAGTCTTTTGTAATAGAAATGAAAAGTTCCCCATGTAAACACAGTTCTAGTTTACCTGAAAGGTAGGCATGCAGATATAGCTACAAGTCTGGAAACTGTCACTCCCCTAGGACAGAGTTAGGTCGACTGTAGCCGCACTGAAGATCCACCTAGGTTGATGGAAGAATTCTTCTGTCCTCCTAGCACTGCCCCTTGGGGAGGAGAGTTTCTTACACGGACAGGAAACCCTCTTGGGTCAAAGGAGGCGGCATTTACAGTACACTAGTGCAGACCCGGCCTCAAGGCAGGTGGCTAGTAGAAGTTTAGGTGACTCTTCCAGGATTGCTAGGGGCGCTGCTATCCTCACTAGAAAGGCTTGCCCAGGGAAACTACGCAGCATCTGAATGCAACATGCTACAGTGCAAGGAATTAGGCACTGGCAGGTTTTACTTCTATCACTACAGAAGGAAAGTGTTCTTCTATTTCTTCCTGAGTCAAGTCTCTTTTAAAAAGGAAGCCATACATAAGCTGAGACTCAGATGGGATCCTAAGCCCATTGTACGCTTGAAGACCAATTCAATCTAGTGTCTCAAGATCATGGATATCCAGGTTAGGTTTCCCAGAAGCTTTACTGAAGCAGAGCTTTGTACTTTCAGAGCACAAGGTATCCAGACAGAAGACTTCCTTCTAGTCAATCAGCTAGATGCTTTACTGAAGCAGAGCTTTGTACTTTCAGAGCACAAGGTATCCCGACAGAAGACTTCCTTCTAGTCAAACAGCCCCTGACATGCAGAGATTCTAAAGGCCAGAAGGGACCATCGTGATTCAGTCTAACTGCATCCAGTCCTGCTCATAGGAGGCCACAGAACCTCACCCACACATTCCAGCAATATGTCCACAGCCTCCCACTGAAGTCCTCAAATCATGATTTAAAGACTGTAGGTTACAGAGAAGCCACCATTTTACTCAAGCTGAGATAGAAGGTGAACCTGCTGCACTCAAGGCAGCAAAATCCCCTGAAGGTCTCCATCAAATACTCAAGCTGAGATAGAAGGTGAACCTGCACTCAAGGCGGCAAAATCCCCTGAAGGTCTCCATCAATCTGACCTGGGGGAAATTCCTTCCTGACTCCAGATCCAGCAATCAGTTCGGCCGGGAGACCCACGACCAGACAGCAAGGCAAGAGTCCCCTATAGTAATTCAGAGTCCTTCCCATCCCATGTTCCATCTCTGGCCACTGAAGAGCTGTGCTACCTGCCAGCAGAGCCGTCACAAATGGGCCATATGCTAATCTCATTCCATCCCTTGCATAAGCTTATCAAGCTCAGCAGTGAAGCTTCCCCCCCCCCCACCGCTCCACTTGAAAGACTGTTCCAGAACTTGACTCCTCTGACGGTCAGAAACTTGTGTAATATCAAGCTTAATCCTGCTGATGCTACAAGAACAAATGGATACAAACTGGCCCAGCATTGGTTCTTAACGTACATAACTCCTCTCACTCCCTGGTATTTATCCCTTTGGTGTATTTTAGAGAGCAATCCTATCTCCTCTCAGTTCTCTTTTGATTAGGTTAAACAAGCCAAGTTCCTTAAGTCTCCTCTAATAAGGTAAGTTCTGCATTCTTATCCGAGTAGCCCTTTTCTGCTCCTGTTCCTGTCTGATTTGACTTTTTTAAACAAGCCAAGTTCCTTAAGTCTCCTCTAATAAGGTAAGTTCTGCATTCTTATCCGAGTAGCCCTTTTCTGCTCCTGTTCCCATCTGATTTGACTGTTTTTTTAAACACGGGAGACCAAAGTTATATGCAGTATTCCAGATGTGGTCTTACCAATGCCTTGTATAATGGCAGTAACACCTCCTATCGCTGCTGGAAACATGAAACTGAAGGACTATGCCTGTGGTAGGTAACCTGGCTCTTAAATTACCTGTACCAGGTGACTGGAGGAGAGCCAATATGATGCCAGTTTTTTTTAAAAAGGCTCCAGAGGCAACCCTCAGCAATTACAGGCTGGGAAGACTAAATTCAGTACCAGGTAAACTCACTGAAACTATAGTAAAGAACAGCAATTACAGGCTGGGAAGACTAAATTCAGTACCAGGTAAACTCACAAACTATAGTAAAGAACGGAATGATCAGACACAGATTAACACGATGTGCCGGGGAAGAGTCAAAGTGGTTTTGTAAAGGGAAACCCTGCCTCTCCGGTTAATTAGAATTATTTGAGGGGCTCAAACACACGTGGAAGAGAGTAGTCCAATGTCTATATTGTATTCAGACTTTCAGGAGGACTTTGACAAGGTGCCCCACCAAAGACTCTTAAGCGAAGTAAGCGGTCAAAGGAAAAGAGGAAGAGCCTCTTATGGATCAGTAACTGGATAAGAGACAGGAAACAAAGGCAGGAATAAAGAGTTTTGAGAATGGAAAGAAGTAAATCACGGTGACCCCCGGGATTAGTACTGGGACCAGCGCTGTTCCACGTATTCATAAGTAATCTGGAAAAAGGGATAAATAGGTGGCAAAAACTGCCGACAAGTATCCGAGTAACTTTGTATAAACCCCAACACAGACTGCGAGACGTTACAAAGGGATCCCACAAAACTGGGTGACTGGGCAACCAAGTGGCAGAAGAAATTCAATGGCAATAAGTGTGAAGTCGGTCACACAGAACCCCAACTAGTCATAGAAAAAGGATGGCCTACATTAGCTGTTCCTACTTAAAAAGGATCTTGGAGTTGTGAGTAGTTCTCTGAATACATCCATTCAATGTGCAGCGGCCATCAAAGAAGCTAACAAAACGACAGGAAACATTAGAAAAGAGATAGATAAGATTCTTGAGGAACACCTCAGTGGTTCAGAAGCCAAATTAATGATCATTATGCAGATGTGGGATTTCACAGTTTCATTTATTTTCATTGCAAAATGACTGACCAAATATTACTACTTTATCAACTACAGTGGTCAATAACATAGTAAAAGCATCCTGATTAGTTCATAACGGAAACTGGTTAATAATTAAATCACAATATTTTAATATCACATCCTGCCAAGAGCCACAGGAGACACAAAGAGCAACTTGTGGCTCTCAAGCCTCAGTCCGAGTATTACTCTAACACAAAATATCATGCCTTTATAAAAATCCATGGTACACCCATATCTTGAATACCGCCTGCAGCTCTAGTGGTCCCATCTCAAAAAAAAATACACACAGAATTAGAAAAGCCCATATCTTGAATACCGCCTGCAGCTCTAGTGGTCCCATCTCAAAAAAAGATATACACAGGAGAATTAGAAAAGACAGAGGGGCTCTGAAAATTATTAGGGATATGGAACACCTTCCATATGAGGAGAGATTAAAAACTGGGACTTTTCAACTTGGAAAAGTGATGACTACGGGAGGATATGATGGAGGTCTTTAAAATCTTGAATGGTATGAAGAAAATGAATAAGGAAACAGTCAAATTAATAGGCAGAAGGTTTAAAACAAATGGAAGTACTTTTTTACACACCACAGTTAGGCAGAAGGTTTAAAACAAACGGAAGTACTTTTTTTTTTACACACCACACAGTCAACCTGTGGAACTCTATGCTATGGGAAGTTGAGAAGATCAAATCTATAACAGGGTTCAAAAGAGTAGCTAATATAATGGAGGACAGGTCCATCAACAGCTATCAGCCAGGGTGGTCAGGCATGTAACACCAGGCTCTGAGTGTCCTCAGGCTTATCTGCCAGGATGTGGGAGTGGATGCAACGGGGTGGATCACCCAAACATTTGCCTGTTCTATTCTATTCATTCCTTCTGAAGCACACGGCACCAGCAACTGTCAGACAACAGATACACAAGGCTAGATGGACCACTGGTATGAACCAGTGTGACTATTCTTCTGTTCACCCATACATGATGGGATTTTTTTCCACATAATTATGGGGCCTTTAGTGCATTAGTTGAGGTGTGCCACGTGTTATGATCGGCACGTATAGGCAGAGCCAGCCCAAGCTACGAGTTGACCGGGCTACCGCCTGGAGCGCCCCATTGTAGAGGCGCTGCACACGGCTGCCGGACCAGGGGGAAGGGGGGGGCACACATGCACCAGGCACCCGGGGTGGGGCCGTGCATGTGCCACACTCCCCGGGGCGGCGCCACGCTCCCAGGGCCAGGGCGCACGAATGGCTTGGGCCAGCCCTGCATGTAGGATCTAAGGTGTGGTGATGGAGGCGCTGATCACTGCGGCCACAAAGATGTCTGCAGGTTTTGCATCTGTTGTCTCTGTCAAGGACCGTGTTTCCTTGGCATCAAGGTGTCTTGGTCTGCGGGGAGCTTGCTTCTGACTAGGAGTTTAGAAAAGCTGGGGCGTGGTATGAAGGCCAGAAGTGGAGTTTCATAAAAGATCTTTCAGGCTATGGTTCCCACGGAGTCTGGGTTGCGTTCTGAGGATGCCCCTTAGTTCTAATGCAGGGTGGTAGGTGATAAATGGGGGAGGGTTTGCTGTTGTTGGACATTTTGTATCTGTGCTCAAACATTCTCAGAGTAAACTGGGTGCCCAGTTCCATAACCATCTACTTCTCTGCAAGAACGTCCTTGCCGGGCGAAGGTGGATGTGATTGTGTTGCGGTGTCTCAGACTCTCTGCTCAGAACAGGCTTTGTGGTATCTGAGTGCCTGGCAGTAGGTAACAAGATTCCTGGGTGTGTTTGGGGTGGTTACTGGATCTACAAAGGTAGAGGTGATGATCCATGCATTTCTTGTATAGGACTGTCTGTAAGGTTCCACTGCTGAATAGGATAGTGGTGTCCCAGAAGCTGATATTAGCGTGGGATCATTCCAGAATTTAACAGGCAAGCGCTGGATGTTGAAGCGGTGGTGGAAATCACACAGGACAACAGTGAGACAAAAATCTTATCACTTGCGGGGGAACACTTTTCACAGAGTCTGCATCTGACCTATCAGTCCTCCTCAGAGGAAGCCAGCACAGACTCAAAAGATGATGGGAGCGTACACTTGTAATTCTTCTAAACACTCAAAATCACAAACGGAACGAATACTGGATGTAGAGTTTATTACAATAACCTGTAACCCACTGTAATGCAAGAAGTACCTTTGCCAAGTGTGAAGAACTCCTCGGCATGTTTCTCTCACTAGCAGCAGTTAGTCCAATAGAAGATATTACCTCACCCACCTTGCCTTTCTAATACTGTGCAAGAGGGTTTCTGCAGATCAGAGTAGGCCCACCCAAATGCCTATTGTTAAAGACAGGCGTTCTCTCCTTCAACTTGCGAGACAAGCCATGTTGTACAGGGAAACAGCTTAAGAGAAGTAGCAGTTTTTGGAGCGATAGCAAAGAAAGGAAGCATAATGGAACATCTTGACACGGATGTTTCCAGAGTGAGCATGCTTCCTCCCTGCTAATCAGCTATTTCCATTCATCTCTAACCCTACTCACACAGGGAGAGAGGAGAGACTTTCCTTCCCCAGTGCTAAAGGCCTTGACTGCCAAAAGCCAGGCTGTTTTCCTCACTTTCCACAGCTTCAGCTGTCCCTTACCCTGCTATCCAAATGTCCTGCTTTAATTCCCGTTCCTCCAAGACCCTATGATGCAGTTGTGTGTTGTCAATACAATAGTAAGGAACTTCCTGCCTAAGACAGGCATTACATGGGTATGGTCCATAATTGACTTACCCCCCTCTCAGCTATTAACATAAAAATATCCAAAGATGGAAGCCAAAACCTAGAAGCTGAAAATGGAGAGATGGAATGAGGAGGGATTTTGTACCTGTTCACATCGCTTCTCCGAGACCGGAGTGAGCCCCGTGATTTGGCACCTCTGACCCCTGCATGGAATAAGGATGAGAAAAAAGAACTGAAAACCCAGTCAAGCAATTAGATGTCAAGCACAGACCTGCTAGTTTTCAGATTATCCTGTAAGTGACTTTCTGATTAGCCCATCACCAGCATGAAGTTGTGGAGCTAATAGATAAGCTTTATGAAGATCCCCCTCTTACACTGGTGGAACCAGCTGGCAAGAACGGGAAGAGCAGTGCAACTTGTGACGGGGTCTGGACGCCTGCTGCAGAGCTCTCAGGCCCAATAAGGCCCAAAGAAAGGCCTGTCCCTGATGGTGGCCCCCAGAGGAATTGGTACCAGCAGTCCCTGGAGGGTCACACCCAGAGGGATAGCAACCATAGCTGCTCGACTGTCTGTTTGAGACTCCTGTGCCTCCATGAAGATACTGGTGCAGCTATTTCCTCCAACTCGGATTCAGAGGACCTGTGGAATGGGTAGCAGCAATGCCACTGGCACTGCTCACACCTGAGTGGAGTACACATCTGCATCTTCCTGAAGAACTAGCTTGTTATCAAACCCCATTTTTAATTGGCCCACCCAAATGCCTATCGTTAAAGACAGGCGTTCTCTCCTTTAACTTGCGAGACAAGCAGTGTTGTACAGGGAAACAGCTTAAGAGAAGTAGCAGCTTTTGGAGCGATAGCAAAGAAAGGAGGCATAATGGAACATCTTGACACGGATGTTTCCACAGTTACACAAGTGACCTGTAAGGCCTGTGTACTGCATACACACAAGTCTGACGTCAATTAGACTGAATACATGCAGAACAGGGCAGTTAAGACATTGGTCTCAACCTTTCCAACTTCACTATCACAAATGTCACTCAGCGTTCATTGAAAGACTCGTGGAGGAGAACAAGCTGCGCTGGATGACGTTTATCTGCACTTACTGTGGCAGATAAATACTAACCATTCCTTCGTGTCAGAAACGTAGGCACCCTGACCGCAGGATACCTTTCTTCCACGTGGCTATCAGTCTTCACGGGCTCCTTGAAGTATCCTGGAGAACTTTGGTACAGCAGGAGTTAGAAAAAGGTAGAAAAGCATCAGAATCTCTTTCAGAAGAGCATCTACATGCCCTGTTCTCTCCACCGCATGCAAGCCCTGTACAAGAACTACACTCCATTCCTGCACAAGCACATGGGACAGAATGCTATAAGTAGGGATGTTAGATGGGGGGAGGGATAGCTAAGTGGTCTGAGCATTGGCCTGCTAAACCCAGGGTTGTGAGTTCAATCCTTGATGAGCCATTTAGGGACCTAAAGCAAATCTGTCAGGGATGGTACTTAGTCCTGCTGTGAAGGCAGAGGATTGGACTCAATGACCTCTCAAGGTCCCTTCCAGTTCTATGAGACAGGTATATCTCCATAGATTATTAATTATATAGCATCTATTTTAGTAATCATGTAGAAGCAACAATTTTTAGCTCTTACAGGGTTATTAAAATGCCCCCAGGGATGGATCTGGCAGCCAGTGTGCTTCAGGGCTCCCAGCCACACTCCTGGGGAGCCCCCTGCCACACTGCGCTGTTGCCTCTGTATCAGAAGCAGTAGCACAGGGTGGCAGGTAGAGCTGGTCCGTAAGGGGAGTTGGTTTAAAAATTGGCTCCCTGTGCAAACCAGCTCCCACCTGTCACCCCGTGCTGCTGCCTCTATTGCCTTTTGCAGCTAGAAGTGAAAGTCTGGACTTGTTGCTATGACCTTACAGAAGTCTGAGTTCTAGAGCATTAATGTAACCTGTAAAGAGAGTGCTTGATTTTTTTTTTTTTACTACTCTAGTTAAAATGATGTAGCTATAGTTCTAAGTGTACTTAGACTGGTAGACCTTATCTTCCTTCCCCCAAGAGAAAGCAGCTACCCTGATCCAAGCACATTTATACCTTTATAACGGTGTCTAGACTAGCAGCTGTACCACTTTAAGTGGCAAAGCTTGTGTGTAGACAAACCCTTTGCTTCCACACACTCAGCATTCCAGAATAACTGGGAAAAAAAGCTGCATTTGTTCAGAACAGAAACTTCTCTTTAAAACCGAAAAGGCTCTCACACGACACCTACACACTCTCCAGCTCTACATGTGTGATTGCCATGGTCTTTTGGCCTTACCGCAGATTGAAACATTACTGTGAACTTGGTTAAGTTACTGAAAACGGCAAATTAATTTCTTAGGAAGCCAGAAAAGATCAGGTTTTCATTAAACCAAAATGTAAGCCTCAGAACCAGCTGTGTTAAGACAAGAAATTAGCTCAAGCTAGGTCCATTCCAGATCAGCAGTATAAAAGTCATAAAAAGCACCAATGGAAGGGAAAATAATTCCCCCAAATTCAATACCATTGTGGTACAGCCCTTAATACAGGATTTCATAGTAGAACTTACACCACTAGCAACACTTGTGCTCAAAAAGGGGAAGTTTCCCAATGCAAATCCATCACAGGAGGCAGAAGAGGTAGCAGTAGGACGACTAAACTCACAAGAGTTGGTGAACCTCCACGTTTTCTTTACTTCCACAGAATATTTTATGTTTTAATCTTTAAAGGCCACAGAGAACTTCTAGTTTACACAGCTCCATGCATTTAGACAGGTGTAAAATCTGTTCCAAAGCATCTGTGCTGGGTCATAGCCCAGGATCCTGTTGATTGGACAGCCTGTTGCAATGACAGCTTCCAGCGTATCCAATAGAAAAGCAGTCTGATGTCCCCTTTTGCCTCAAGTCTCAGATTATATCCCAGACTGTTTAGGAGCAACAATACTTACTTGCAGTGGTTTGCAGCTATAGGAGTGGAGTAGTTTCTAGGATACTTTTCCTTTACTAGTTCCAACAGTAGTTTGTACTTCTCTCTCTCTTCTCTTTGTACATCCTAACCGGGGGGAGGGGGAGGAGGGTACTTCTCTCTCTCTTCTCTTTGTACATCCTAATGGAGGGCAGAAGGGGGATGGAAGAGGTGTCAAGTTTGTAATTAAATGTAATGCATACTACACTGTTAGAGAACATCAAGTTTATCAGCAGTCCTATTCACGCAGGTACCACATGCCCAAAATTGCTGTTAAGTTGAAAGTGGGCTCATGCTCATGAAAGCAAGGAGCGCAATTTTCATCCTCAGTTTTCAGCAGCTTTCACATTCAAATAAAGGTAAACCAACGATAAACATCATTACCATTTCCAGCTTTGGAACTGCCACGTTCAGACTTGAAAGAAAGCGGCACCCACTCACCCACCCTCAAAAACACTTTTCATAGAGTCAAATGCCAGAAAGGAGCATTAGAGCCTTTAGTTGGACCCTGACTACGGTCACAGGCCATTATGTTTTACCCAGTTACCCCTGCACGGAGCCCAGTAACTCATTTATCTACATCAGTTACCAGAAAGGCATTAAGAGATGGAGAATCTCCAACTTTCCATGGTAATTTGTTGCGACAGTTAACTGCCCACATTTGAAGTATTTCTGAAATTAGTTTTAATTTGAATGTGGCTGGCTTCATCTTTCCACCATTCGTGCTCTGCTTTTCTCCACTGCAGAGCCTTTTAGTACCTAATGTATTCCCCTGTAAAAATACTTCTGCACTGAAATCACCTCGCCATCATGTTTTTGGTAAGCCAAATAGACTGAGCTTTAAGTCTCACAGCAAGACATGTTCTCAGTTCAGGACTGTCACTAATTCAAAAGCCATTTTCACGGTTTCCAGTCTAAACCATATCTTGCCACCTCAATACTCAGGACTCTATAACAGGGGTGGCCAACCCATTACAGGCAAAGAGCCAAAATAGTTGTGCATATAGCACAAAGAGCTGGGGGGAGGGAGGGTGTACTGCCTCTTTAAGAAACGTGGTTAAAGGCTTTTTGGCCACATCAGGCTCCTGCCGGACAGCTCCTCTAACCCGATGAGCACAGGGAGCCGGGAGGTGGGGACTGTTTTCAGGGGCACTGGGGCAGCTTCATGAGCTGCACTTTCAGGGGAGTAGGGAGAAGAGCTGAGCTGCATGTGGCCACGGCTGCCTTATTACCTAAACTCAGAAGTGACACAAAAAATGAGCTGAGCTGGTTTTATCTGGACTCACCTCTTCCACAGTACAGTGAGGTCTCCTCACGAGCTTGCCAGCATCTGAAGTGGAGGCTCCCGCTATGTTCTCCTGACTAGACAGTCTCCATGGCAAAGAGCCTTCTGGAATGGATTTGGTATGGTGTTTACTACTCATTGTCGTGTTGCAGAGGTTTCTGTTAAGAGAAACTATTACACTATTAAAGGAACATAAAACCAAAACCTACGCGAGTCAAATTACATCTCAAAATGTGCTGGCACATACATGCATTGTGAGGGAAGAGACTTAAACACCATAAGGATACATGGATGTTCTGAATGCATCAGCCAGGTGGAAGGATGAAGTCAAATCACTACTTTGTAAAAGAGACTTTGTGGACACATGACTAAGACATGCACACCCACTGGACGGTTTACAACATACCATTTTTAAGCTCCATTACATGCACACGCTCTAGGCTAAACCACATGCTCTAGGAACTATAAACTTTGCCAAATCCTGTTTTCCCCCTTTGCCACGCTCTCCTTCCTTCCCCCCCAATAGCTTCCTACTTCTCCAGATGGCCCTGTTCCTTTGAATTTCTCATATACTTCTTTCATTAAAGCCTATTGCAGTATGGCGGAGAAAGTCAACTAGCCAAAGCCATGCTCCAATAGGCCACTTAGGTATTTTGAGGGGTGTCATATAGCTGACACTTCAGAGGAAAGCCCTTTTCATAACAGCTGCCTTTTAGGAATTTGCCTCTTTACCATTAAAAGGTTCTCCTACCGATATTCAGCTCCCCGCCATGGTGTAAGAAACGCTTTGGTTTAAATGCGAGGTGCACAAAGGCAGCTGACAGTTTAAACCACCTATTGTAAACCAACTAAAAAGCAGCACTGCTGCTGCTTAAACACCACACACCATGACAAGTCAGCAAATCACACAGCTGAAAGAAAGAGTCAAGAGAGCCACTAGCTGAGACAGCCCCATCAGTCAAAATGTTGAGCCAATTCAGAAGACTTTCAACCTATGTGAGCACAGATATCACCAGCTTTGCTACTGGCTTGGGGCCTACAATACCTCCACAATAAGAACTTAGGGGCATTACAGTTTATCAGGGGAATCTGTACTATGGAACTAGCATCATCTTATATAGGAATACAGCAAGGACACAATTCAATGTCATTTTGGGGCAGGATGCAAACAGCAGTATTAGAGTCCTGGCCCATTTCCTTCCAATTATTGCTATTTCTAACATCTGGGAGAAAACTGCATCAGCTTTGTTCCAGTCAGGTCATCAAAACGATTATTAGAACCCATCATTCAAAGCCAAGGGACCACCGCCTTTATTATATTTTGGATAATTTACAACCAAGGGGACATGATAGCGGTTTTCAAATATCTAAAAGGGTGTCACAAGGAGGAAGGAGAAAATTTGTTCCTCTTGGTTTCTGAGGACAGGACAAGGAGTAATGGGCTTAAAGTGCAGCAGGGGAGGTTTAGATTGGACATTAGGAAAAAATTCCTAACTGTCAGGGTGGTCAAATATTGGAATAAATTGCCAAGGGAGGTGGTGGAATCTCCCTCTCTGGAGATATTTAAGAACAGGTTAGATAGACATCTGTCAGGGATGGTGTAGATGGAGCTTGGTCCTGCCTTGAGGGCGGGGGGGCTGGACTCGATGACCTCTTGAGGTCCCTTCCAGTCCTATTATTCTATGATTCTATGATTCAAGGCATGTTTTTGTAATTAAAACCTCCCTCAAAGATATTCTAGTCCACCCCATCTGCCACATTCCATACTCTTCTCCCCAAATGCCCGTATTTCTGTTTCTTTAAAGCCTGCAAGTTTTTGTTCCCAGATATCGCCCGTTTATTTGTTCCTTAAAGTTCCCATTCCTTTGGCCTCAAAAAGGGACAGAACACACAACTTCCCTCTCTTCACACTTCCAATCCCACTTCTCTACCCGATCACCTCCAACATATCCTCTGGCCTTCACAAGGTCCTCCGCTGGCCTCCCTGCTCTGCCTGCCCCAGGCTCTGCATCACCCTCCCCAGGTCTGTTTTCCGTGTGCAGCTTCCCTCCCACCTGAAGTTTTGGATGTACATTTTTCCCTCCTAAAGATGAGCATGCTGCCGGGCAAGCCAACTTTACTGATTCCTTTACGCACTTGGTACCCACATCTTTCCTTGTGGACTAGTCTTGCTGTCCTACTTTGTGTCAAACTGTACACGTTTTAATACATTTCTAGGAGACTAAGAAAAAGTAGAAACACCTCAGCCATACCACAGTTCAGCAGAATGTCCAGTAATATTTTATATTTAGAAAGAGAGCCAAGCACTACTACATATAAATGGACAAAAATGCATCAGGCAACAAGAGTGGGCAGACACTATAGTGTGCACTGATTTTTGTGTGTGTCGTGGCACAGGAAAGACAAGTCAACCACAAGAGTTTTACCTCAGGCAAGGCACAGTCTTGCAAGAAATAGGTAGTGTCTCTTTGCTGGCACAAACGCTAGCGCCACAGCGTATTTTCTTATCTGTGAAAGAAGTACCAGCCATTAGTAGTTGTGAAGGCAGTGGTAGAATTCTAGAAGTTTGTATTTACAAAAGCCTCAATAAAACAATGTGCTTTAGTGCAGGTGCGTTAAGCCAACACGTAAACGGACATAAGAGATCTTAAGGCATCACACTAAGGCATTGTCTGGCTTTCAGCAGCCATGTGGACATAAGAGATCTTAAGGCATCACACTAAGGTACTGGGTGTGTCTCAGCAGCCATGTGTCTGTATAGAAGTTGCTCCATTAGACTAGTGCTCTTCTAGTTCAAGTTCATCATACATTACATAAGACTGTTCAGTAAGTTTTCCAGTTATACTTTACATAAACAGCACAGCCATCAGGAATGAGGCACGTCATAGGAGAAGGCTGTAACACTTAAGACCGAGATGGCTGCAACAAAAATATCTGAACATTGCCAGCAGCAATGGAAGGAAGCAGGAAAGAAAGCAGGGGTTCATCTTTCAGCGTTCGACGGAAGTTTTGTCGACAGTATCTGTCGACAAAACTTCCGTCGACAAAACGCGGTAGTCTAGACGTACCCGCTGTCTGGCTTTTTCAGCAGCCATGGGTCTGTATAGAAGTTGCTCCATTAGACTAGTGCTCTTCTAGTTCAAGTTCATCATACATTACATAAGACTGTTCAGTAAGTTTTCCAGTTATACTTTACATAAACAGCACAGCCATCAGGAATGAGGCACGTCATAGGAGAAGGCTGTAACACTTAAGACCGAGATGGCTGCAACAAAAATATCTGAACATTGCCAGCAGCAATGGAAGGAAGCAGGAAAGAAAGCAGGGGTTCATCTTTCAGCGTTCTAGATTTTGGAGGTATTGCCTTACCAATTTCAGAACTATAAAGCACTTGAAAAGCCTTAGACAAAAGGCACTGTACAAGCAGACAGTATTAATGCTGCTGTATACCATGTGCTGGGCATTTTAGCAGACGGGGGAAAAAGAGAAGAAAAAGCGATGGCTTCGTGTCAGTCTTACCCAGTTGTAGCATTTCTATTCCAGGTGCAGAGTCAATCAGTCTGCCAGTCGAAGAATCAGAAGAATTTGAAATAGTCTTAAAAACAACAAGGAAACTATTGAAATGCAATTTGGATGCGGATCAAAGCAAACACACACCCTAGTCACTCTGATTAAGAGTTAAACCATGCTATTCACCCAGTGCCCCAGTCTGACTGGTTTGGATCCTGGCAGAATGTAGATCTCTGCCGTTTCTACAAGGTGTCTAAGTTTAGACAAGAGTCCACACAGACCCCCCCCTCTTAAAAACCCTACTTAAATGAGTTAGAAGGACAAATCCCAGTGACTTTCACTCCTCCCCTTAGGTTTACAATGTGTGAAGTTAAAACACTAATGGTGGCTGGTGTTAAACAGCAGAAGTTCGGCCTCAATGACAAGTGCTCCAATGGAGGATTCAAATTTGAACAAGGCAATAGCTACTATTTGAAAAGAAACAGAACAGCACCAGCCCCAACAACCTTGGGCCAAACCCTGCTCTAGGCAGTGAAAAGGAAAGGCAATAGCTACTATTTGAAAAGAAATAGAACAGCACCGGCCCCAACAACCTCGGGCCAAACCCTGCTCTAGGAGGGTGAAAAGGGGACTGGTAACTGTTCGTTTATTGTGCACTGTAGGTATTCAAACATTAGAAACAATCTTGTTTCCAGAATCCCCACTAACCTCATCTGTAGATTCTGCACTGGGAGCTCCATTACAAACTGATGTCTTGAGGTACCTACTGGTCAGCTGGGATGGCAATTTAAATAGATTGGCAACTCCTTGCACCGTCTTTGTCAATTTGGAGATAACATAATCTTAAAAAAAAAAAACACCACAACAAACAGCCAGGCCATAAAACATTTGGTCTAAAGAAGGATTTTTCCCCATTTAAATTCAAGTACTCTCAGCTATAGTATCATTGTGCACAATAGTTTACTTCAGAATATTATCAACATTTTCAGATATCCTTGATTGGCTATGAAAACAGTAATCTCTTAAACGCTAGAAGACACGTTTTTTCAAAGACTACAGTTTAATGTGGAAAATACTAAACACACACCCTGACTGGAGAGAGAGTCTTAAAGGTTAGCTGTAATTTTTGGCTCTATACCCTCTAGCGGAACAGGGGGATTTTTAAAATCAAATTAAATTATACTCTGGAGGTCAGCATTTGGCCGAAGATAGGACGATGATATTTAAGCAGAGAAGTTCCATGATGTATATTGTTCACAGATAGTCAAAAGTGAGGGGGTAGTACCAAAAAAATGCTTAATTTTGCTTTATAGTTCCATTTTCTTCCTGGGCGCTCTCTAACCCTCCAAAGTGCATTAAATGATGATGCTACCACTAAGTAAGAGCCAATATCCTCAGAGAGAAGAGCATGGTCTTCTGTCAGACAGAATAACTCGGTTGATTGTACTGTTCCTCAGTACTTGTGCCTTAAGCAGACAGGACTTCAGGGCCCACATCTCCATCTTTTCAGTCAAGAGATTGCTAGCCAGCTTGGTCCATCTCATGGCCTGTCAGAGTTAAAACAGCTGATACTGTGGCTAGCTAGTGACAACTGGTGTCTAAAAAGCGGTAGAGCTGCAGATAATCTGAACCCCAGCTCCCAAGCTAAGTAAAAACGGGCCAGTATTTCAGGGAGCCACAGGGAAGGATTCTGGGGAAGCTAAAGGAGGCTAGTGGGGAAGTACAAGGCAAAAGGGGACTGTGACCTCTTCCTTCTCAGGAAGAAGTGCAAACTTCCTTGTCAAGGACAGCATTTATCCCCCATGGTAGCTTTGCTACTGTCCTGCTAGTCCCAGCCTCTCCCTTCATAATCTGACTACTCCCCCCTCTCCAAACCCATCCACAATGTGTCTTGTTTTCCCCCAGGAACTCAACACAGCCTTTCCAGCTCCCAGCTCACAACCTTCCCAAACTCTACCAGCTACTCCCTGCAACTAGCTCCAGGACACCCCAGCCCAATTAGCCCCCAGAAAGAAAAGCCCAGCTCTCCTTGTGTAGCCTCTGCACAGCTCAAAACCCAAATCCCCCTTAGACTGACACACACATACAAGGATTCTTTCCCACCCCTCACCACTTACACACACCATATTGGTTTCTGAGCCAGTAAATGAAGAACAAGAGGCAGCAAGGACCTAAAATGCTCCCAAGCATCCCCTGCTCTAGCCTCATCCCTGTACTTCCTGAGTTGTGCACTCAAGCCAGACGTCTCCAAAGGCACACCTGCGTACAGCAGCACAAGAGACTTCTCCCTCCTCTCCCACCCCCGGTGGCAGCCTGCAGTAAATCATCCACTTACTAGGGATGTGATGGGATATCAGTTAACCATATAAACAATTAAGACCTGAGCCTGGCCCCACCGGTTACTGTGAACAGTTACACGCAGGCGCCCACCCCGCCCCTGTATCACAGCCCGCAGTGCAGGATGGCACTCAGCTCCCTGGGAGCAGGGTGGGAGCCAGCATATGCCAGGAGCAGACTTAAAAGCCCCCATCAGGAGCCAGCTGCCGCCCCACACAGGTGCCTCTGATACTGAGTTAGCAACGTGGGCAGCAGCCGGGAGATCAAAAACTCTGGTCTTCTCATGGGTACATAAGAATGGTCTAGTCACTTTAAAAACAAACAAACAAACCACACACACACACCCGCCCACACGTAATGAGAAAAGCACTAGTGCTATACCTAATCTTTGTCTTTTTGCTTGCCTCTGGTTAGGGTCCTCCAGAGATGGCTGAACGCTGTGGAAAGAACAGATCAGGTAGTTATTTGTAGCAACAGACAAGTGATCTGAGGATTCCCCAGCCCCACCAGTCTCCAAATACAAACCAAATTAGTTTACTTACTCCAACGACACCTGTTTACTGCCAGCCCCTCCGGAGCATACAGACTTCCATACAGGGATTTATGAAAATCCGTAAGGTTGTAGCCACTGCAGCACTCACCCCCAGAGAGTCTGTGCACATACTAGGAAAGGCCCTGACGCAACACGCCCCACCTGCATCCAGTAACAGACACTGGCAAAAGCAGGCAGATGCTCACATTTCCAGTAACATAATTGTACAGAGTTCATCTGAGTTTGTTACTAGCTGAATAGTGCAATCCACATAGGGGTAAGGTTCGTCTCCTCCCTCTGAATAGTGCAATCCACATAGGGGTAAGTTTCGTCTCCTCCCTCAAAAACAACAACAACAAACAAAGGAAACTCAAAAACAAAAAAACAAAAAAAACAAAAACAAAAAAAGGAAGTCGTTCTGTTAGCCTTAACACAGGTTAAGCATAGATGTTTGTATGCAGGATTAAGATCCCCAGATCACTAGACAATCTATATAAAATGAGCTACAAAAAGAATCCTAATTAGAATCCAAGACAAGAGGCAGGAAAAAGCCACTACTCTGGAACACAAATATTTACGCCGCACTTGTCCAAGGAAGGAGACTACGCTGAGGCACCAGGTTCCTAAACTCCATCATGGATACACATGATGTGCTGTTTCAAATTGGTTCATATCGGAGTGTAACCTTTCGTGAGACTTCAAGAACGTGCCGTTATATCAAAGTTTATACCTGGTTGTAGAAAACTGATAAGAAACTGGACTTCATAGTTCCCCTGGTTTTAATCCACCTCAAGGTTCAGATGAACACTACAATCTTTTGCCAGCTAGTTGGGTCTATCAGGGGTGTGATTTGCAATCAACATAGCAAACGTCCTCTGTGAGACATGGCAGTCCAGCAAAGCTGTAACTTTTGCTATCCTAGCTTCTCTCAGCAGGAGTGGGAGCACTTGGTATCCAGTTACTGTCTCATTAGTTCCATTCTGGGTAAAGGTTTCAGAAAGGTAGCCACATCAGTCTAGCAAAAAACAAGGAATCTGGGTAGCACTTTAAAGGCTGACAAATTTATTAGGAGGACATTAGAGCATCAGCTCAGAGCGGACATGGCTAATCTTAGAGAAGGTGAGAGTACCTGAATGTGAAATTACCTCTTAATGTAAGAACCACTCCATGTGTTTATTTAGACCTTGGTTCAGGGTGTCAAATATGCATATGAATTCCAGTTCAGCAGTGTCCGTCCTCAAACGGTTTTTGAAGATTTTTCTGTCTGAGAACAGAAACAATGTCTACAAATGCAAATGCCAACACAGATTCCAAAGACTCATCATTTGCAAACATAATATTTGCATTCGGTTTCTTTGCAGTGATATAGTCATGTTGGTCCCAGGATCTGAGGCAAGGCACATGAGGTAATATCCTTTATTGGACCAACTTGTGATGGTGGAAGGGCTTTTGAGCATATTAGTTGCTCATCAGGTCTGAGGAAGGCAAACCAGGGCATCTAAGCACAATACAAACTGGGACATTATTAAGCACATGGAATTCATACCCACTTAAAGTAGGTGAAATAAGATTTAGCAGGCAGTGAAAGGTTATAACTTCTTGGGATGAGCATTAACAACCAGTTTCTCTGTTGATTCCCTGGTTTTTAGTGTCTAGCAGAATTATGGCTCCAGGCTTGTCATTTGAGGGTGCTGTGCAGGTTTCCCTGGAGGTTGAGGGCTGAGGGGGCAGATATGGAGCCAGCAGCTTCTGAAAAGTGCTCACCCATAGGCAAGGTGGCATTTTTGCTTTGTTTTTCTGAGAGCTTATCCAAGAGCACAGGGATCATCTACTTTCACCCACATTTAATGCCCTACATGAGCGATGGACTGTGCAGGTTCAAGTGGGGGTGAGTGAAAACGAGGGTGTACAGTGAGTGGGCTGAGTTTCTTTCCCTTTATTAACACAAGTCCTACCAGGGTGTTTGCAGGCCCCTTTCCCACGATGCATTCTACGTCTGTCAAAGCTTCTTTGTTTGGCGATGGCAATTTTAAGAAAGTCTGGGATACAGACCTCTCTCTCCAGAGAGAATTCGGTCAGTAACAGATCTGTTGGGGAGTTAGAGGTGACTGCTGGACCAGTGACAATAATGGTGGTGATCCATGCACATTAGAGGTTGTGTGAGACCGAAGCGATGCTATCATGGGGAAGGATACTGGCATGCAGAGAGGTGACTGACAGCGTGCTGGGGGAGGGGTCACCAAGGCTGCACTTTCGGAAAGAAGCTGGCAGTGGCTGGAGGCAGCTCGTTCTTCTCAAGGTGAATGATCTCTGTAAATCCATATAAGCCTTCAGTAGGCGAGCTGTGACTTGGTCTGAATGTGGCACTGCAGTCAGGCCCAGATTCAGTTTCACCCTCCACATTGTTTTCTGGCTCTCCCATGGTTCAAGTGGGTCATGGAGTTCAATCCCTCTTTCGGGATAAATGCAGACGAAAGTCCATGACAAACAGGAGGCTGTTCTGGCATTCAGGGTCTCTTTGAAATGTGCCTTCTGGTCCCTCTTCCCAATACCTTCTGGGTTTCCTTTCACCTGCCTTTCCTTAAGAAGGAGCCCCAGGCCTGTTCCAGGAGCTGAGTGGTTCAGGCAGTTACTGCCCCGTCTAATTAAGTCAGGAACCCCAGCTTCCCTCTTGAGCTGGGACAGAGGTTAGCCAGATGTAGAGCCTTCGCCAGTTCCTCCATCAACACACACCTTCCACCTCCCCATTAATCTTCAGGCCCAGAGGGTTCTGTGGGCCAGTCTTGTGCTAGCCTCTGCCCTGCTATGAAGGAAGAGGCAGCATTTCCTGATGTTGGGGAGGAGTTGGCAGAAGAGGAGCAAGCTGGGTAACAAGGGAGCCTTGCATTCTCTGCAAGGCCAATGCCAGGTGCTCCAGAAAGAATGAACAGAACAGGGAATCAAGTGATTCATCCCCCGTCACCCATTCCCAGCTTCTGACAAACAGAGGCTAGGGACAGCACCCTGGCTAACTGGCATTGATGGACCTCTCCTCAATGAATGTATCTAGTTTTTTTAAACTGTGTTAAAGTCCTGGTCTTCACAACATCCTCTGGCAAGGAGTTTCACAGGTTGACTGTGCTGTGTGAAGAAAAACTTCCTTGTGTTATGGGAACAAGTAAATAACTTTTACTTATTCATTTTCTCCACACCAGTCATGATTTTATAGACCCCTATCACACCCTCTTAGTTTCCTCTTGTCTAAGCTGAAACATGCACAGGAATCTGAGACTGAAGTATCTCAACCCAGGTACCACAAGAAACATGGTGCAGCAAGGTCTTGAACTGTGCTCAGGTTCCACTCTGCCATCCGGTGTAGAGCAGGCTATCAAATGGCCAATACTGATGCAACAATGCGACATGCAGGTAGCATATCTTTGGTCCATAATATACATGCTATTGAATATTTGAAAGCAGAAAAGTCTACCCCTTTCTGTACCATTCTGTTCCATGCATTTTACACAGCCTGGTAGCTTGTACACAGCTGGAGTAGGGATGTTGAAAGTAACTGTATGAATCAACAGCTCAATTTCAGTGAGTGAGCCAAGACAGTCCACCTCTTGAACAAAAACGATGGCACATTTCCCAGAAGACAGAGCATCAGTTTACACCCAAACCAAGACTGACCTAGCTACACCACACAGGGTGTGAAAGTCACACTCCTAAGATACACAGTTAAGCTTACCTAAAGCATCAATACAGGCACCACTAGACCTACAGAAGAATTCTCTAGACACAACAACTACCACCTCTTGAATGAAAGGATTTATGACAGCCACACAAGCCCCCTTTTATCACTGTCAGGTGCATACTACATGCCACAGCCAGGCTCGTAACATAGCCATACCTCAAAGTAAAAAATTCTTTTCTGTGCTATAGTCAGTGGTCTACCTTCACAGCAGGCAAATTAACTCTGGGGTAGGAGGATTCAAATATTTAGCTCTTCTTTCCAAGTAATTTCTTCTCTAATTTTCACAGAGCGCTCAACAGTTGGGAGAGCGTTATCTTGAGATTTTGTCCAATAGCAGCTGATCAATTGTGTGCAGAATAAGACTGATCACAGAGCAAAACTACCTGTCCCTTTCCCTTCAAAAGTTTGAGAGAACTTTGAGGGTTGGCTACACTAGAAATGCTAGCAGCTGTGCTTTTGGAGCACTGACACTTAGTATAGCAATAGAAGAGGCTCTTCCATCACTAAGTCTACCTCATAGTTCCCTGTAAAGTGTGCAGCTGAGTGGCTGTGCAGGAGGAAATTAAGACCCACCCACCTCATTAGTAGAGCCGTGCAGCATGCCTGCACTAACTAGCTACCTCCTCCTGAGTACGGATCCTGTAGATGGGAAAAGGTAAGGCGGTGGGCTTGGTGGGGGGAGTCAGTCAGGGTCTGGAGGCAGAGGGAGAGCTGCCATCATTCTGCCTGTAGAAGCAGCACTTCCTCCTTTCTCCGCCAGCCCCCGCAGCTGGGCTGTCAGTGAGCATGCCTGCAAACAGAAGCAGCACTCCTCCTCCACTCCCCCCTGCCCCTTCCCTCCAGGTAACTCCAGCAGCTGTTCAGAGTATAAGGCAGGGAGCACCCATAAAAGAAGACAGCAATTCAGAGCTGAGAATGAGATTTTGGTTACTTGGTGCTACAAGGCTGAAGCTTGTTGTCCACTCATGCTATTCAGACACTGCTTAGGTGCAGAAATAACAATAAATGAATAAAACATACTGAAGCTCACCCTTTCCCCAGAGCTGAATCACAACAGCTCTGATGAATGGCAAGGCAAATTGTCTGGAAGATTTGAGTTATGTAACGAGAACTGAAGTGTTTTTTAAGAACTGGCTTTGGGGTAATAGGGAACAATGTGTGCACAAAAAGCGTTCAGAAGTGAGCCCATTCAACAACATCATTTAGCCAGTATTTGAAAGCAATTTAAAACATCCCTCTCAACAGCCCAACCCAATCCCTGACAGCTCCGGCCCAGTGCCTTCAAATATGCTCTTGTTTTCTTTGCCAGGAAAGTAGACACCATTTTAATAAGATACCAAATGGCTACTGACAATTTTGCAGTATTCGTTTATTTGATTTCATATTAAACAAACATTTAAAGTCATGCACCTTGTTAATTATCCCTTGTTTTTATATTCTCTCTTCTTCCATAACGTTTAAAACTATATCTAGGATTTCTATTAGTAACTAGAGGGGGTGGCGCCACGGTGGCACATATCAGCACATGACCTCAATATTGACAAAACTCACTCTGCTCATGGGTGGAAAAACTTACAGGGAACACCTCTCCGAAAGAGCAAACAAATTCTTCCACAAATCTAGCAGCATCTACAATGGGACTTTGATTGCCCAAATCACATTTTTCACAGCCCTGAGCAATGTAGTTAAGCCAACTTAACTCCGTAGCGTAGACCTGACTTCTTCAGGCCTGAAATCCTCAAGGGCAGACAATGATTTTAAGACCATCAAGAGTCTAGTTTGACCTCCTGCACCTCACCAGCTCCTCACCCACCCATTCTGGTATCAGACCCATAATCTCTGACCCGCCAGCCAGATACCTGAAAAGAATTCTCTGTAAATGGGAAGGGCTCTGAGTTATGAACATTCCATCTCCAGCCACTGAAGAGATTTGTTAAGAGCAGTTACAGATGGCCAGGCCATCTGCCATTGTCAGCAATCTCATGCCATCCCCTCCATAACCTATCAAGCTCAGTCTTGAAACCTGTTCGGTTTCGGGTTTTTTTGTTCCCACTTTTCTCCTTGCTAGACTGTTCTAAAACTCGACACATCTGAGAGTTAAAGGAGTAACTAGCCAGTGAGCAAAGATCAGAAAGCAGGAACCCAGAGCCTACTCTTTCACCTCCTATGCACCTTCAAAAAGGCCCATCTTTCAGTGTCACATTTTAACCTTTATCACTGGCTTGGTGGCAGAAGGAGTTAAGTAATGATCAAGTAATGTTTCAAATGCACTCCAAAGCCTGGGTCAGGATTTTAACTAAGGTGATTGAGAAGTAGAAGCCAGTACTCCCAGTAACCCAACTTTAGTGTCCCTCCTGCTATGACAGGACGGTGTCCATCAACGTTCACCACTGTAACACACATAACTGCACCAAAAAGCTAGGGTTTATATTAGTAGAACAGCCCCTACGTATACGTACGTAAGATCAGGCCCTGTCCTTTTCATAACACTTTTCCAATCAGTGTGCAGGACAGTTGGTTGGGGCACATAATTAAAGCTGTAAAAGAGAAGTCAAATTTTCATTTGTTAATTGCAAAGAGATGAGTGCTGCACTCCAGTGGCACAGTATAATAATGGTTACGTGTATTTTCACCCTCATTTAATCTCCCTTCTCCAAGCTTAATCTGGAGTTTTAGACCCTTCTCCATTGTAGCAGCACTGTCTATTAATCTTCACCTGATGTGCACACGGAACAGGCAAAACAGGAAGTGAAGCACGGATTAAGAATAAAAACTAGCTACAGAACTAAGGCTACACTTAGAAGTGAAGCACGGATTAAGAATAAAAACAAGCTACAGAACTAAGGCTACACCTAGACAGCAGGGCTATTTCGCGATGCCAGAAGTATCTTTAAACGCGCCCATTATTTCAACATGTGTTTTGAAATAATGGGTGTGCTATTCCAGCATCCCTGTAATCCTCATTCCGCAACGTGCATAGATTGCGTAGCGGAGTGCTGCACTCCAGTGGCACAGTATAATAATGGTTACGTGTATTTTCACCCTCATTTAATCTCCCTTCTCCAAGCTTAATCTGGAGTTTTAGACCCTTCTCCATTGTAGCAGCACTGTCTATTAATCTTCACCTGATGTGCACACGGAACAGGCAAAACAGGAAGTGAAGCACGGATTAAGAATAAAAACTAGCTACAGAACTAAGGCTACACTTAGACAGCAGGGCTATTTCGCGATACCAGAAGTATCTTTAAACGCGCGCATTATTTCAACATGTGTTTTGAAATAATGGGTGTGCTATTCCAGCATCCCTGTAATCCTCATTCTGCAACGTGCATAGCTTGTGTAGCGTATTTCGAGGTAAGGGTGCTGTGTAGACACAAAGAGGCTCCACGCAGGGTCTCTCACAAGAGGAGGGGACAACACCTAACAGACTTTTGGTAAAACACCTCCCCCAGCAATGATGTTTTCTAATTTTTTAATGCTTGACTTTGCAACCTAAACAGATTCCTTGTCACGGTTTTATAAAAAAAGAGAGACTAAAAAAACCCCCAGAAAAATAAATTACCTGCAACTAAGCCCTTCCTCACTTCCTCTTTCAAGCCTTGGGGTTTAAACCCATCAGCACAGAGCTCTGCCACTTTAGCTAGATGATTAAGTACATTAGCTGACAGGAGCAGAAAACTCATGGGCTGTATCTAGACTGCATCCCTTTTCCGTAAAAAGGGATGCAAATTAGACATATCGCAATTGCAAATGAAGCAGGGATTTAAATCTTCCCCGTTTCATTAGCATAAAAATGGCTGCCGCTTTTTTTCGAAAAAAGCCTGCCGCTTTTTTCTGGCTCTGAGCTTTGCCGGAAAAAAGCACCAGTCTAGATGCGGATCTTTCGGAAAATAAAGCCTTTTCCAAAAGATCCCTTATCCCTCATTTTAAGATTCCCTTATCCCTCATTTTAAGGGATCTTAAAATGAGGGATAAGGGATCTTTTGGAAAAGGCTTTATTTTCCGAAAGATCCGCGTCTAGACTGGTGCTTTTTTCCGGCAAAGCTCAGAGCCGGAAAAAAGCGTCAGCCATTTTTATGCTAATGAAGCGGGGGGGATTTAAATCCCCACTTCATTTGCAATTGCAATATGTCTACTTTACATCCCTTTTACGGAAAAGGGATGCAGTCTAGACACAGACATGTGGACTGCCCCACCAGAGAAGGACACATAACCAAGTGTTTTGACACTAGATAGGCATAAGCAGCCCATGTTTCAGTGTTATATATGCACAAACAAAACCATTTAACAAATACAGCCCGCAACAAATATTTGTCTCTCTGAGACAGCGAACAGCTAGCAGCTTTCTTGGAATTTGTGGGAGGTCTGCCCCCCCCTTATTTTTTCTAGAAATACAGTCTAAGAATAAAAGACAACAATGGCTATGAGATAGCATTAGAAGAGAGGGAAAAAAGGTGGTCAGACACAGAAGCTACAGTATGTACATTATGCTTGAGTAGGTATCTGACAGAAGCTGTTTATGTGTATGAAATGTCACCAGATACAGCTCATGGGAGAAGATATCCAAGGAACTGAAATGCAACTGGGATGACAGAATTCAGACAGGCATGTCTAGGTATAATGCAGGAGAGGAAAGATGAATTGGTACCAACACCACAAGATCTAAAGATATCTGCTGAACAAAAAGAGCTGGAGAGCAAATTGCCAGAAGAGGATGGTAATCTGTGGAAAAACATCATGAGGACAAGGCAGAAGAAGAAACCACCTAGTGGTAATGAAACTGAGTTGAGGGATACATTTGTTGCACTGGGAACTGACAGAGTGGCAAGGAAGAAAAGAAGGGAAGTTCCCACTGTATCAGAGGCAGCAGTGGAGGGCAGCAGCCAGCTCCTGGGAGCACAACATGAGTGTAACCGTTTACATTAACTGATAATCCCAGGCTTATCGGTTAACTGTTTAAATGATTATCCTGTTATGCCCCTACTTTCTAATCAAGCTATGAAATAATCTGCAAAGTCTGTGAAAATCAAGTTATTGAGCAAGTATAAACAGTGAACATAAAATAATATTCCCAGGTATAGTTTGCTCCTGTTCATGCACCAGTTGGTTCTCTGAAGTCTAGTAGGAACCTTATCTCAAAATAAATAGGCAAGCTAAGTATACCTCCATGAACCTAGGGTAATGCTAAAAGGACAAAGTGAAGGAAGCAGTATACAAAACTGATTAAAGCAGTAAGTTAGAGGAAGCTTGGGAAAAAACTTTAATCTTCCCTATTAAATAAGTAATACTGCAAAGGACACCCAAGCAGGCAGATTTGCTCAAACCTTTCAGATACTGGAAAACTGAAAATAAAAGGAGAATGAGCAGTACAAGAGAATATAACTGCAATAAATAGGATGAAATTAAACAAAGTTCAGTATGAATATCAGAAAGAAAGCTTTTGACACTGCTATTTCAGAAGTCCCCTCGTGAGATATTTAAAACAAACAGACTGAAGTGCTAGATACCATCCTATGAATCTCAGTCTCTTTTGTTTCTCTAACTTCAATAATTCAGTTTCTCATACTGCCCATCACTTTTTACATAATTAGCCTTATGTGCATGGTATCAAAGTGTTTAAGCTCCTGTACAGATTTTCTTCATGGTTCACTGCAGGAGTGGGAGTAGAAAGAGGATGACATAGTTTAATCAAGTATGTTTCTGAAGGGTAAAGATGATCAAGGAGCATCAAGGTGGAAGACCACAACCAAAATTTATCAGAAAAAAAAAAAGGAACAACAAATATTATGTAATTCTCAAGTAAATAGTTTGAGACCAGCAGTCTAACACTTTTAGTCAGTCACACCATTAATTTCCAACTCACGTCAGATCATTTCCCATTTAAAATCTAAGATTATAACTGATGTACAACCCCACCCCTCCACCCACACACTTTCACAACTGTACCATTTGTGTTTGACAGCACTGCATGCAATTCAGTGTCATAGTTTCCTCTGTACAATCAGTGTCTACTTTTATTTGTTGGGTCGCACAAACAACGAGGGAGTGAAAACTTTTCAAAATAATGTATAAAACGACAGGAGGCACTTTTAAATCCCTTTTAAATCTGCACTTGAAAAGGAATCCTCTGAACTGTCATTCATGCTAAAATTCGACACTCTACGTGGGGGTCTCAACAAAGACTCTAGCTATCTTGCCCATTACAAAGACAGCTTCCCCAATTATCACCTCTAATACCATTAGTTCACAGACATTTACCTTCCCCTGCCCCTCCCCATCCACCTTCTGTTCTGAAATTTGATTGTCCTTTTCATAGGTGTTCATTTTTTAAATTGTATCCTTTGGTATATATGGTTGTGACTTTTTTCTTCCACTATTTGATCTGAGGAAGTGGGTCTGGCCCACGAAAGCTCATCACCTAATAAACCATCTTGTTAGTCTTTAAAGTGCTACATAGTCCTGTACTTTGTTTCAGGAGGAGTCTTTAAAGTGCTACGTAGTCCTGTACTTTGTTTCAGGAGACAACAGAGAATTCCTGTTCAAGTTCTTAAATGTGGGAACACCGGCTTTACTTTAAAACAATTGAGGTTTCACATGAAGTATTCTTTTTAATAGATTTAACTGCAAAATATTCCAAAATAAGCAACTCCCAAATCGAATCTTGTACAGCACAACTAATCTACCACTTCTACCCAACCTCATCTATTGGCCCATTAAGCTCATATTCTGTATGAAACAGCACCCAGAACTACATGCCCCAAAACAAAAATCCTGAGGCTTGACCTGAACAAGCGCCAGAACAAAACTACAGCGAGTCTCTGGTGGCTTCAGGCTCCGGAAAAACGTTTTTACCAAGTTCTCCGACTGTGGGGATCCCCCCGTTAGCAGCGCTCACCCACGCAGCGACTGGCCAGCGCGACACGCCTCTCTGCCCCAAACCGTGAGCCCTCTGGACCGAAGGGCAGTGGAGCGGGGCGCTCGCAGGCCCCAGGAGGAGGAGACACCCAGCGCGGGCCGAGCCGCTCGCCCCAG